TAAATTTCCGATGAGGCTCATCACGCGCGCGGCTGGTTAAAGATAACTAAGTGCATGATTATTTCTGACTAACATCTGACACCGCCGACTAGACTATCTAGGGTTCGTATATAATCAGAAATGTAGTAAAATCTATCATTATTTCTCGTCCGTGCACTCCCTGGAATTTCGACAACAAATAACAATTGTCAAAGATCATGTTGAATTTCACGACAAATGTTGGAAACATTTGCCAAATACTTTCAAAATGCAGCATGAACTCAGGATTTTATTTCGCCAATTTGCAAAAAATTTGCACATTGGGCTCAACAATTACTGAATGTCACTAATACCGTAAAGGGTAACTGTTTTTCTGTACTTTTATTGTGTATATTCATATGCACGTTGAACATAAGGTCTCAGTATTTTTGGCATTAATCGATCGTGGCAAATTACATCTGCTGTCTTTGCTGACTATTTTCTTTATCATCGATCAAATTTTAATACATTGTAACCATTTAAAACATTACCTTAACTGCAGGGCCGGATTAAAGGGGTGGCCACATGGGCCGCGGCCCATGGCGGCAAATCTACGGGGAGGTAAATTTTGCAATTTTTTTAAGTGTAGGTATGAAATAAATCGGATTTAGAAAAACAAAATTACAAACGAGAAAAGGCTACAGAATCTCTCATTTCCTGAGAGTATAGAAATTTCTAATTTTGTCGTCATTCAGTGATACAAGAGACAGCACCATAAATTATGGGTTTGTGTTGGTAGCCGAGTGCTAGAAATAATGCAAAAAAATGTTTTCAAAAAAACACTTACATTTTATTAATAAAGTACCGAAGCTTTTCGAGGCGGACGCCTCATCGTCAGGGTAACAACAAAATTACCCAATAAATTACAATTATTAAATGATGAGGCGTCCGCCTCGAAAAGCTTCGGTACTTTATTAATAAAATGTAAGTGTTTTTTTGAAAACATTTTTTTGCATTATTTCTAGCACTCGGCTACCAACACAAACCCATATATTTATAGTGCTACTACCTCCACACATTGCTTGACAATGTTCGCTGACTTTGACCATAAATTAGTCGAGTTAAGAGAGAAACCAAACACACAATTTGGCCTGGAACGGCGCGACTTAGGGAGAAATGATGACGAGGATTTGAGATGAAAGGAGAAGCCTTCGGCGCGGCAATCGGCATGTAACATATTAGCGCCTACAAGACTGCACGAATACTTCGCGCATTGTATCGAACACAGTGCGGTCAGCGTGAAACGCATAGCGCCTACAAGACTGCGTGAATACTTAAGGCATTGCGCCAAACACGGTGCGGTCGGCGTGGCGGCGGAAGTTAATATCATTAAACCAAGGAGGTTTTTCACAAAATAATGTTTTACCGTCACATTTTTGAATGGACCCCCCGCGCCCGCCCCTTTAAAGAATTCCTAGGTACGCCACTGATCTATTTACATGTATGAGCTCCATACATTTTATCTTTTTTATTTTGAGGCCCCTCATTTTTAAACTGCCTCATCGTCCAAAGTTGAAGAATATGGTGAATTTCTGTAACAATGTCGCAGCAAGGCAATCTTAATCCGTGAGTTGGTACTGAGTATAGGTGCCTCCTCATTCCGCAGTTAGCTGATTAAAATGTCCCCAGAATGCCGTAGGCCGGCCGGGGTCCTCCCTGCTCTAATGGGGCCAGTTTGAGGCCACCCGGGCATAACGACACCCAGCCGTCCGCTCATTTCGCCAATAAACCATTAGGCTACCTTACTCATTCCCTGGCTTTTTTGTCCATCTCAGATCAGTGGTTCCACGATCCGGCTCCAGCGCTCCGTCCGAATTAGCTCAAGTGTCGTTTGCGAGATCTTATCCTCGCCGAACGTTGTTTGTATTTAGCAAAATTAGTGCCGAGCGATTGTCTCGCTTCCCAGCGAAAACCTTTTACGACCTGAATTCCTGGCAGACTGGTTTCATTTTGAGGGGATTCCGTGTTCCCGCGGGATTTTATTGGCTCGTTGAGATGAGCGTAATTATTTTGCAGTGTTTATCTGGACCTCCGCGGAAGGATGGTCGTCACTTATTCATTCAGAACGAGACCCCGTAAATTTTTATACTGCGTAATTTCTCGCGCCAATTTTCTTTTCAACCTATCATCGATTTTATTTTCCAAAACCCTGTTCTCAAATTTTTATCAGACGACCATGTGCTAGTGATTGAAATATGTTAATGCGAAGCTTTTTATTGCAGGGAACAAGTCATAATTAGTCGACTTTATAGGTGTACCCTGCTAAAAATGACCATGTTGATGAAATGACCATGAAATGACCATCATGCCGAGACCGAGCTGTTACCAACATGGTCTGTTAACGCCCATGTTAGTAACAACATGATGTCAACATGGTATCTACGTGATATAAACTTGATGTGAAAGACCAACATGATACCAACATGTTACGAAAAGAGTAATTACCAATGTGTTATAAACATGATAAAAAAAATTGTTGTTAACAACATTGCACAAATAGGGTAAAATGTTGATATCAATGTGGACTGTTTAACCATCATGATGAAGAGTTAATGTAAAGTTGGTATCTGCATAATCTAATTATCAATATGATAGCATTATGGTATCAATATGGTACTAATCATGTTTACCAAATTAAATATTTTTCAACAGTATGATCCATCCTGCCCAATTTACAAACCTATTACATGGGTTTTAGGATGGTTCTGTAAATTAAGTTACACATATTTCCTCGAGAACGGATTCTAGAGAGGCGAGGAACAACCCCCCCTCCCCGCCCCCATGCTCATTTTTTGTGATCTGACGATCCGCGAATTTCTTCGATGGTCGGTGTACGGGCTCCAGAATGTCGAAAAAATGCATGGCGTGAGATGCACCGATTGTAGTCTAATTAAACCGTTGAAGGCGCTCCGACGAACGACGGCGGTCCGAGCGCAAATAAGCTAAACAAGTCATAGCAACTAGTATTTTACAGACAAAATATTTTATTACAAGACAAGACGTTGAAACACACCTGTTACCATTAGTAACATTTCCGAAAAAAAATATAAAAGGAAATAGTTTGTTACTTAATTTACGACAATCAGCAACCAGGCTGTTTACGTAGGGGACCAGGAAACCTTAAATTTTTAAGTGAATAATACATCACTTTAATGGATTTTATGTTGACAGTATCTTCTTTGAAATTTCTTTGAAAATGTGTTACTATCTAAAGAGTAGAGAATCGTGATCGTGTGTTGTTTGAAGTCATCACTTTTGATGCAAAATCTTTATTCATGTTGTAATAACATTCTGTAATATAACTGACATTGCCACACTTCAAAAGAACGCATTTTATGTCAAACTCATGTACTATTGAAACTAGAGTTCTTTCTTTACTGTGGACGTACATCCCACAAGAGTTAATGTGAGTGGCTTTGCAATCAGATCTCTGTGGAACATTCAATTTGTCACTATAGTGACATTCGTCTATACCAATATTGTGCCTTTAAAAAAAACAGACTTGACTAACCTGCTCCTGACAGCAACTATAACTGCTTTCAATTCGGTTGCATTGTCTTAGTGAGATATTTAAGGCAGAATAGTCAGGATGATTGTGAAACGCAGTCAGCGGTGAATGGTATAATCGAGATTTCATGCGTATAATACCTCAAATGGTCTCGACAGGAAGCGCCTTCATTTTTTCGTAATACTATACCCTTAGTCATGTAGTTACCTAAGTTGCCCATCCGACCGAAACCCAACTGAGGACACCTGTTTCACCCACCTGCTGCACTAGTGTATCACAGTATCAGTCATACTATACTCTTTGTGCGTTTGAGGTGGCAAAAGTGTCTTCAGTGGACTTTCGATAATTCAAAATTGAAGGGAACCGGTTTTTTCTTCGGATTAGCGAGGTTTCGAAATAGAGAGAGTTTGAATTAAAGAGATTCCATGTGGAAAAATTTCGAATTAGGGAGGTTCGAATTATAGAGGGAAGGCGCCATCTGAATTCGAAATATAGAGGGGCAAATGGACGGATTTGCGCCAATGGTCAAGCTCTTTCAGACACCCAGGTACATAAACAGTTGACTTCGAATTGTAGAGGAAATGTGCCGTCTTATTTCGAATGGGCCTGTTGCATGCAAGAGATACAGCCGCGCGAATAGACTTTTCAGAGGTTAAATGACACGAAAATTACGATGGTCACATTAAAAAAGTCTGAAATACACTCCTTACTGCGCAATTTGAGTTGTTAGGAACGCGCTTTTTCAAATTTCCCGCGCCTGGGGGCAGTTTTCTAATCACCGGAAACGAGCAAAGGCAAACGGCGGGCTCGGTGATTTCCGGAAGATGCCGAGTCGTTGTTGTTGTTGTTATTTATTCCTTCAGTTTGTTTACAAACCCAACGTGATCTCCTACAGTGGTCCATATACGCTTTATGCGGTAACCAAATCGATCAACTTTTAAATATCCAACGCAATCCTTCTACATTTCATTTCACGATGTCACGAGCTCCGATTTTTAGGTTATGTTGACAGTTTTAGTTGACCGGAAATAGCCGCGAGTTGCCGTTTGTTTCCGTTAGAAAACTACCCCCAGACGCGGGAAATTTGAAAAAACGCGTTCCTAACAACACAAATTGCGCAGTAAGGAGTGTATTTCAGACTTTTTTAATGTGACCATCGTAATTTTCGTGTCATTTAACCTCTGAAAAGTCTATTCGCACGGCTGTATCTCTTGCATGCAACAGGCCCATTATAGAGGGAGGGCCATATTTACTTCCCACACTTCGAATTACAGAGAGAATTCTCGTTGCAATTTAGAATTATAGAGGGCCGCGGCAGCTTAAAAATTTCGAATTAATGAGGGGAGAAAAATTCATTGATTTTCTTCGAATAATCGACAGATTTTCAGGGGAAACAGAATTTCCTTCGAATTAACGAGGTTTTCGAATATTCGAGAGTCCACTGTATTTCAATAAATTCAAGGCAGAATCATTGGTTCTTTCTTCGTTTTTTTTTTTTTTTTTTTTTTTTTTTTTTTTTTTTTTTGAATTTTATCATTTTCTAGTTATCAACAGTAGCTTACAAATTCTGGCGATCAGTAATAGTCTGATATTTTTATATTATAGTTTTACCAGACTTTTTACTTTAAAAACCTTCCATGAAGCACCGAACGCGGAAGTCGGGAGTAGGGGTGAGTTTGTGCGGCAAACTTAAGTCAATCAATAATGGAACGTAACCTTTGTGTCGCGTTTTTTATGGATTGCCCCTTTGTTCACTCTAAAAGGTAATGATTTCACCATTATAGTCGTAGAAACCTTCCTTGTTTTTCTCGCTAAGCCGAAGCATAACGGTAATCATCCCTTTTACGCTGTCGAAAGCACTTATTTTTTGATGTTGTCCTCCTTCTTTGATGCTGCTGGTCATGTCAGTGTCAACAAAACCTGGATGAAAACTTTCTACCAGAATGCCGTCTTTTCCCAGCTCAATAGCCAAAGATTTAGTGCTCATATTCAAGGCAGCCTAAAAAAAGAGAAACATACTGAAAGTAATAATGCACACAATTTGTAATCACAGACTCATTCAAGTCATGTTTGACTGAATTCTAACATGTGTAATCTAACGATTTATCAACGTGTTGGCTATAGGTTGTTCCACTGATTCATTTTGGAAATTATAAAATCCAATATTTGAATTTCTGATAAATTTGTTGCTATGGTCAAATACTATACATGAATTTAATTATACGTATAGGGTAAATGCAGGTCGTTCGTTTTAATGTGAAACCTTTTTTCTAAAAAGAGCTTATTTTTTAGCTTCTGGAGTGCAAAATAGGGGTTGATGCTAAAGCTAAGTGGATGGTTTGAAAGCAAATGTTCGTCCTCTTCCGATTATAATAACATGCCAATTTTGGCATTTACGAAAACCTTTCTGACCGATTTCCTAATGACATCGTAACCGCTGCAGCCTTTTAATTATGGTGTCAAAAAGATCTTTGCATGACAGCGGATAGACGTCCTGCAAATATTCTTGATTATAATTCAGTACAATCGTTTTTCCGACCTCACAGCTTTTTTGTTCTGAAATTCCTTTCTTTTTTTTCTTTTTTCTTTTTAATTGGAAGAAACTTACCTTGCTCTCCCTGTAGCACCAACACTTATAATTTCCTATATTTCTTGAAATTGACCCCGCTACTGAAGAAATATTGATCACTGCCGCCCGTTTTACACTAAAACCTGCAATGAAAAGCATTGGAACGCAAGTAGTCAATATGTCATGTCAGTAAAAAGGTATGTCTCAAGATGAATAAATCATTATCACCCTCTCATGGAGCTTGTATATATATATATATGAGTCGCTTTTATAGCGCTCTTTGGCGCTGTGCGACGCCTAATCGCCACAAAGCTCGGTCTTCCCACAGGTCATCAGGGAGTTGACAATCTCTTATCTCATTTAACACCCCCTGTCGCCAACCTCTCACTGGGCGTCCCCTACGTCTCCTCCCAGGAGGAACCCAATCAAGCATCTTTTTTGGCAGCCTCTCTTCCGTCATCCTATTGACATGACCATACCAAACAAGTTGTTTGGTCATGACGTCGAACACGATGTCATTTTCGACTTCCATTATCTGACGCACTCTATCATTACGGACCCGATCTCTCCTAGAAATTCCTGCTGACCTTCTCCAGAAATCCATCTCCGTTGCTCTTAGCATATCCTGTGTCCGTTTCTTCAGCTGCCAAACTTCACATCCGTATGTTAATATACTTTTGACTACAGCGTTGTATATCCTCCTCTTGTTATCTTTGGAAATCCGCTGATCCCAGAGGATTCCATTTAACATCGCTATAGCCTTCCTTGCTAAGGTGTTCCTTTCCCTGATAGCTTGATCCGTCCTTCCATCCTGGGTCAACCGCACTCCCAAGTACTTAAAGTGCTCGCAGCCTTTGATCTGCTGCCCATCCTCCAACTCAAGCTTGGAGCTTGTTCTCCTTCGAAACACTCAGCCGCAATTCCTTTAAATAAGTTTATTTGCTCAATGCTTTTATTTAAAACATATTCATTTTTCTACCAAAAATATATCCGATTAAATTATACAAATAGATAATGGTTTTCCAGGGCACTATCTCCGCATGAAGCGCCTTCATCTTTTTCGATACTCCACGCTTTGTCACGAAGCTATTTTAGTTGCCTGTCCGATTCAAAGACATTTAGAGTCACGGACTCCACCACACACTCTCCTGGTTGTGCCTGTTACTTACACGTTTTTTCGAAGGAAGAAGTGTCAAATCACTTGAAAGGAAGGATAACTTGAGCTATAATCCTGTTCCCTTTTTTCTGAATTTATGATTTTTTAATCGTCCTTTAGTGAGATGCAAACTGTCAAACGTAGCCGAGTTGGTCCCCGTCCCGGTTTTATAGCGTAGCCGAGTTGGTCCCCGTTTGTAATCAGAATCCGCGTCAATTGAAATTGGCAACGCTGCATGTTCCAGCACATTTTCCATCTCATTTTACACAGGCGTATTTAAGCATTAAATTTCGCGTGAAATGATTCGTGAGGTGGACGATTAGATAAATTGGACTGCATTTTGCAATTTGGAACTATAAATTCTGGCTCTTCTGGAAATACACTTATGTGCATAGGGAAACTAATGGCACATACGTTGTTTTTAAACCGGGCTAGAATTTATAGTTCCAAATTGCAAAATGTTGTCCAATTGAAACCGGGACCAACACGGACAGTTGGGGACCAATTTGGTATCATCCAAACTGTCGGTAACTGCTAATTGCTTGTTGCATATCTACAAGGATCATGTAAGGAGGTGGATTCCAAAATGACTTGTCTTTTTTCTACCATAAGTAATATACATTCAGATACGTACCGTCGATATTTTTTGATTGAACCTGAGCAGCTTGTTTCAAGAGTGGATAGAGCGCCTGCATAAAAAGAAAGAGAATCTCAGTCATTTGGATGAAAAATAAGAAATATGTAGGTACTCTCAGGTGTGGCTCTCACTTCATGAAGCGAGAGATCTTTTTCCTCTTCCAATATTGAATGGGTAGATACGCACGCTGTTTGCTTCTTTGATCGGATCTGATGGAAATTCAGTGGAAACAGCAATTTTAAGTAGATCAATATCGATTTTAGCGGTTGCTGTAGGAGTTTATTGGATGGTTCTGTTCTTCTAAAATTGAGGAGACTTCCTTACCAACAGGAGTGAATGATACTCTTCCCGTAGATTTTACCTTCTCATTAATAGGCTTACTTGTAATACTTGTACTTTCCTCAATAATGACGACATGTACTTTTTCTGTAAGGGCACAGAGGTTTTACTGGCGTTAGCAGGACTATTCAACTTTTAGATTTTCGGGATGACTTTCAAACGTTTCAGAGCAACAGGGACCATGTGCGTGTACTTTCGCTCTCGCAGGGAACGAGAGGACCTTTTCTCGCAAGTATCCTTAGTATTTGCATCGTAGACGCTTCCTGGACTTTCAGTTTGAGTTTTTGAAAACGATATCGGAAGGAACTACGTGTTTGTTTTGGACTGATCCATCATTAGGAAGTTCAACATCATTTACTTTTGTGAATCGATTTGTTTCATCACTCTTGCCTTTTGAAGTTTTTCCAACTTTTTCTGGATCCTCAGTAGCTAATTTTAAACTTCGCCCCCTTCGACCTGTTAACCGCTTTCTAGGAACGTTACGAGAGACTAATGTACACCGTGCTGTTACATGATGTTGCACCATCATGACAAAGCGATTGGGACGAATAATCGTCTCCCCACAGAGTGAGAAGTAGTTTGACAAGGCGGAAAAAATTTTCGGTCACCCCGTTAGAAAATCTCATTGACTAAGGGACAAGTAGCCTTGACCAAAGAGGCAGAGTATGAACATAATAAATGAGAACACTGAGAGCCAAACAGTGGTTATAAAATGGGTTCAAATCTGACTCACTAGTATTTAAGACAAACATTCAGCTTTGCAATCTCCATAAAAATAGCTTTAATATCTTTAATGAAAGGATTCGAACTATACTGTGAAGCGATGTGGGGGTAACAGAACAGACTGCTGAGCTGCCGGGCTAGAGACTCAGACCACATGCCACAAATGAAGAAGGGATGAAAATGAGCAGGAAACACAAAATTTTAGTTTGGCGTGACCAAAAATTAAACTACAGAAGCATCACCGACCCGTCCGATGAAAAATGGGAGGTAATCCTTGCGGATTACCCCCAAAAAGGGAAAAATATCGAGAGCAACAACGACTTACTAGCACATCCAAGTAACGAGCCAAAAACGAACTGAGAGCACTCTCAACCAACCAGAAAGCAGCACCTATGGCGTTACTTTCTGGGTTTGAGAGTGCTCCCACGGGATTGGCCGCCGGCTGGAGGGCGCCGAATTTGAGAAATTTTAAATTCAGAGGGGACCATACTACAACTGAACTGTGGGCATGGTAATGAAATGGGTCGCTTGGAAAGGGGGGGGGGTGACACAGCTCAAACGGCGTAGCGCAGGGGACTCCTCCAGGGAAAATGCCAGGGAAAACGCCAAATTCACGTAAACTCCAAAAACTACTTTATTCTCACACGCACACACACACACACGCTACAACACAGGATCAATACCGTACGCTAGCCTGGTCCATCCGAAAAGCCCCAGGCATCACAGTAACATTCAGCGGAATACTTGGATTTTCCTCAACTGCCTTGGATGGTTGTTGTGCTTCTTTCATGACTGTCTCAATGTCGACACCATGATTTTTGACTTCACTCACTCGCTCAACGAAAAATATTTCGGCCTTCTTGATTGGAGCCGCTGATGCAGCCTTTAAATGAAGTAGGCAGAATAAATTCCTGAAGATCATTGTGGTATCAGGATAAGAATGGGTATTGACGAGTAAACAAAATATTTCAAGTGCAACACGTCCAACATGACAATACTCATTTTCAGTCAGCTTCACTTGAGAATAGTTTTGAATGAATACATCTTCGAAATCTTTTATGGATACAATGGTGACGGGTAGTTCTTTTGTCGTTTCAGGTGGCAATTTTTTGCGGGACTTGGTAGACGATTTGGAGGGCAATTCATCAGAGTTTGATGAAGCACTTGGGCTAGGTACAAGTTTTTTTCATAAAAAGTAAAAATTTTATCACCGATTATTTCGGAATAATGGGAACAACAAATGTGAATAAAAATATAGCTTTCCTATGTGGAGGCGCACCAGGCATCTGGCTCAGAACCACTAACAAGTCCGTAGAGAATTTGTAAGTAGATAAACATATTCATTTCGAGCAAAGCTTCGACTATTGCATTCATTTCGGCAAAAGAATAATCTTTTACTAGATGTTGCCCTTCAAAGGTAACACCATTTTTCGATGGAAACCGCAAACATTTTGAGAGCCACCACCCAATACTCTTTGGCAATTGGGCCCAACACCCAGACTTTACCCGAGCGAAGCTGATGTATTCAGTAAGAGGAAGGTAGTAAGGGGTATCCCTCCCTGATGGTTGATACTTGAAGACGATTATGTCATACAAAACATATTTGTCTAGAGGGAGAATTTTACGGACAGTATACTCCTCGTACTATCCATGTTCAACACAAGTTTACCCTCGGGACAAAGTTTTCTAGCAAACTTGTAGACTTCCAATCTCTCGATGCTCCAAATCATCACGCAGAGAGGATAGCCCACAAACTGCACATACTGCGTAGCAGGGTCGCGAGCCTGCTTCTGACACATTTTGACAAGATCAATGAATGGATCGAGATCCAAGTTATTGAGAGCCTTCGCTTCTTGTCTGACTTTCCACCGAACAGATTCTGATTTAATGTCTGGAGCGTTTCCAGCTTTAAGAGCATCACGATTTGCTTCATTTGTTACTTTGTCTTTGTACTGAGTAGAATTCATCCTAGTCAACAACTCATAAGCTCCTGACCGATTGGCCCATTAAGATACCTTGTTACAGGCTCAGGACCATGATGCTTGGGGTTGTTATCAGTGTAAACTTGCAAATAATAATTAGGATCACCGGGCCTCGTAGAAACAATCAGTTCATATGGTTTATACGTTTCGTGGCCGCAGCGAGCACAAATCACATACAAATCTCCTACTTTAGCTTTTGCAGGGGAGGCATCGTATACTTCCTTTCCATATGGAGAACACAGTCTGGTTTTATCTTATTGAACACTTTAGCCAAGCCTGTGCCGGAAGAGCGGCGAATGAGTCTCCCATCCTTGGCTACAGACGACCAAATTAGAGTATCGATAACAATAGATCCCACATTTACAGAATAACTTCTGCTGTCATACTGATCAGCGGGAGCTAAAGGGGGGGGGGAAGCGTTGGTCTGTTGAGT